GAGAGGAGAGAGAGAGAGAGAGAGAGAGACGAGAGAGGAGAGAGAGAGAGAGAGAGAGCAGCAAATAATAATCACAAATAAAAATTGAAATAAAGAGGAGATGGCTAATTTTTCTATTTATGTATATCAACTTTGGTTTCAAATTGCTTGTGTAAATATATCCAAGTATCAATTTCTTTGGTTGCAGTCTGAGAAAAACAGCTTAATGAAGCACATATAACAATATTGTTATTAAGCAGCTAAGGCGATACCGATACTAATGCAAAAGTATTGATTGATATGTTTAGTGATACTGCCCATCTCTGTATACAACATTAAATGTGAAGCTATTGTCCATTAAAAAAATACACCATTCTATGCTTTCTTCCTTGCTTCATATTTCTCTATCAATATGCCAAAGTTATTTCCGAAATTACTAAAATTTCACCTTTTTTTTCAGGAACTTTATTCAATTTCCCTCCTTTTTTTCTTTGGCTTCATCAGTTCTCTCTCGACAAAAAAAACTATAATCACAGAAAAGGATAATGAAGTGCTTAGCAAAGCAATCTGACACTAAAACACAGGTTGGCTTCAGTATTACACTAAGTTTATTCTTCTGTCTTATTATAAAACTATGAAAAATCCTCTTACACGGACAGTTTACTAAGAAAAAATATGACCTAATGTAAAACAGTAACAAATGTAATGGTTGGGTCTATCACATCTTTGGCAGAAGACACTTTACTTACTCTAAACAGATACAAGAAGAAATGAAAATATTAACAAATGAGTATATTAAGGGCAACTGAACAGTATAAAAAAAAGTGTTGATAGAAATTCCAGGAGGTATGTTTATCTTTGGACTAATAATTTATCAGCAAATACATTTTAAAAAATCTTGTATGTACATGGTAAATTAAAGTTACGAATGTCTTTAAACATTTCTCTTCATAACAAACTATGAAGAATGGCATATCTCCATTGCATTTGTACAAACTCTGAGATTCTTAATATAGTAATAACAAGTATGATTCACTTGGGTTCAATTTGTTGAAGAAAACTGTTGGAATTACTCTAAAAAGGAAAAGGTCTATAAAACAATTTGAACCTTTATCCATTAAAAATATATCAGTTATGTAATACTGTCTGGACAAGTAATCCTCTGAATGGATATCTAATTGTGTTTCCATTTCATTACTTGTGTCAAATATATTACCTTGTGATAAAATAATAACCAGAAAAATATTAATTTCACTGAGGATGACTCCAGGATATTACTTTAATCCATATACTTGAATGGAGTATTGTCTTAAAAGGAGGTTTCAAAAAGGACCCCTCTTGCACTTCCTCCCGAGTCTGTGTGTACTTTTGTCCCACTGTGGAACAGGGGTGCCTTGCTTTGTTTTTAGAATAGACTGCCGCCTGCTCTCAGGTGAGCAAGAATGAAAGTCTTTCCACTTGTTCTTCTGCTGATGTATCTCTATCTGGTGTGAATATACCTTCATTTGTGGTCTGTAATTGTTCTTTACTCTTATCAATCACTGCTGTAGCTGGAGAAAGTGGATTATTCCCATCCAAACAGAATAACAAAGACTCAGAGAGTTCTTTGTTTGAACAAAGATCCAGGGCTGAGTCAGCAGAGCCTAGAGAAGCTTTAGAGCACTGACGTGAAACACTCTTACTTGGGGGCTGTGATTCACCATAGGCGGAGTCAACTAGATTATCATCACTATTTTCTTCATTAGAATCGGTTGTCTGTGGAATCTCTTGAATTTCTACTTTGTCCTCTTCTTCAATTCCTTTCTCTAAACAGTCAGTTGACAAATCAACAGGGTTATCAGTCAGGATACTTCTACTGAGGAGATAATCTTTAAATACACTGGATAACGACTCATTCATTTCACCATCTTCCTCAGTTTCCGATTCATCAGATTTCTCTTCTTCCTGAACCTCAGGATTGGTGAGAGAGGTTGTTGAGCTGAGTCGAGAGGCCAACTGGGCTAAGGAAGACGTACTTAGCCTAAAGAAGCTGCCAAAGAGGGAACCTGTGGAACTGGCCGAGCTTAATGTTCTTCGCAGGGTTGATGATCCCCATCGCTTGAGCTTGGTTTCCCCTTCATTTTCACAAGAACCTTCTGAATCTCTCTTTTTCCTGTTTGTGATGGCCTTACCTTTGTTGTACTCTGGATCATTCATTTCGCTGTCAGTGGTATTTATGCTCAGGTTGGTCGAGTCTGCAAGGGTTTGGTGGGTCGCACTGGAGAACTGAGTTTGGCAGTAGGATTGATGATGACTGGTGAATTGTGGCTTGTTTCATCCTCAACCACATTTTCTTTCGTCCTCAAAACATCTGCTACCGGTGTATTTTGGCTGTCTTTTTCTTCAGGAATAGGCACATTTGATAAACTGGTTGTGGAATTGATAATAATAGGGCAGCGGCTACGAGGAGTCATCATCACTTTCTGAAAGAAATACATTGTATCATGGTCAAGTGAATCTTAATGGGATTGAATGATATTCTATCATGAGAGCTTTAAATGTGAACATTCATATGACAATCTGACAACATAAAAAGCTACAAAGACAAAATAGATTTTATCTGACAAAAATACAAACAACAGTGGTGTGTGTGTGTGTGTGTGTGTGTGTGTGTGTGTGTGTGTGTGTGTGTGTGTGTGTGTGTGTGTGTGTGTGTGGGTGTGTGTGTGTGTGAGTGGTGTGTGTGAGTGTGTGTGTGTGTGTGTGTGTGAGTGTGTGTGTGTGAGTGTTGTGTGTGTGAGTGTGTGTGTGTGAGTGTGTGTGTGAGTGTGTGTGTGTGAGTGTGTGCATGTGAGTGTGAGTGTGTGCATGTGAGTGTGAGTGAGAGTGTGTGTGTATGAGAGAGTGTAAGTGTGAGTGAGACTGAGAGCGAGTGAGAGTGAGGGCATGTGAGAAGAGTGAGAGACTGTGAGTCTGAGTGAGAGTGTGTGACTGTGAATGTGAGAGTGTGAGTGAGAGTGTGAGTGTGAGTGTGAGAGTCTTAGTGAGTGAGTGAGTGACAGGAACAACGAAGGGAAGAACAGGAAAACACATGAATATGCCTTTTCGCTAATGCTTCCTCAGGGCATACATGACAAAAGGTATATAGAGGAGTATTTATACAAATATTAGGCGGTCAGGTTACGTCGGTAATCAGGTGAGTGACGACCTTGGATAGTTTGTGGCTCCCTGTAGTGGTGTTGATGTTGTTTGTTGTATGAATGAATTCTGCTTCTACCATCTTCCTTTGATGTGGGGCTAGGCCTTGCTTTATGATAGAGGCCTGGGACAACTTCAGGGAGTGACCGTTGGTGTCTACATGAACGAAAGCGCTTCTCATGTCGTGGCGTCAGAGAACGCTGCAGTGTTGAATGATTCACTGTTCGTCAACTGTGTAAACTTTATCACACCCAACACAGGGTATGCTGTACACCTGGCTGAGGGGTCTGTTGTGGTTTGACATCTTTTCTCTTACGATATCTCTGATCTTCTTGCCTGAAGATGTAGCTATCTTTAAAGTGTGGCCCACTAGGGCCTCCAGGTGTTCAGTCAATTCCGAGTGAGGGATGATTATTCTCTGAATCTTGTTCTGTATGTCTTCACCTCTCGGTCTGCTCATGATCTTCTTGGCCTTTTGTTGGAGGTGGGTGAGCATGGAGCGAGGATAATGGAGGTGTAGGAAAGTGATGCAGATGTGTTGCATTTCTTCCTCCAAGAACTCAGGGCTGCATATTCTGAGGGCTTGGAGGGAGAAGCCAATGACCACACCTTCTTTAGTCCTCTTGCTATGGGTAGAAAAATAATGGAGGGCATATTCATGTGTTTTCTTGTTCTTCCCTTTGTTGTTCCTGTTGCAATCGGTTCGTCATAAATTCCACATGTGAGTGAGTGTGTGTGTGCATGAGTGGGAGTTTGTGAGTGAGTGAGTGTGTGTGTGTGTGTGCACACGTGTGTGACACACTCACGCGGGGAAGTGAATGCAGGAAAGCTGCATGGATATGTATGTGCATGAATGTTTGTGTAGGTATATGTGTAAGAATACAGGTGTACAGATGAGATGAATCACACATTCAAGATCTGTCTTCAGAAATTTGTGTTACGTCTATGATGGGTACCTATTAGAAAAGACAAGGACGTTACATTAACCCATTGGCTTAAGGTTCATACACACTTTGCTGTATTTTTTATCACATGGCTCCACAAGGGTTCAACCACCTAGGAGCCAACTATTAGGCCATAGGGACTGACCCTGAATTCCACACTCCTTGAATTTGCAGGTTCCTCCCACCCTAATGCAATTGAAATGAACACTTAATATTTCACTGTTGACATGATTAATACAATACCATAAAATTTATAAATTCATAGAAGAAAAGATTCTTCCTGAAAATTAAGGAAACGGGTAAACAGGCTAATTAGGTTAATAAGTAATTTTGGTGACTAAGCACTTGTGGAGCTATCTCTGTACAAACAAAATAAACTAACACTAGAGTTGGCATTACAAGTATTTTTGCCATCCATGGCCATTGGGTTAAATGCATATCACATGTAGATCATGTTTAACAGCTCTGTCAAGGAAGAGAAATGTGTAGACAAATATTCATATGTAAGCAAGTGTATTTTAGACAAATATTCATATGTAAGCAAGTGTATTTTAGTCAGTTAATATGAATAATTAGCTAGGCAGGCCATAAAACAAGCAAGCAAAACAAAACAAAACCATGGTTAAGCAAAAGTTGAGGAGTACCTGAGGGATACTGGCTTGCAACATAGCCTGCGAGATGGAGAGTGAACCTCCAGCTTTGCAGCAGCTGGGTAGATGCAAGCATGCTGTCCCAGGGGGGAGCATTCTCTTTTGTTTCATCATAAACACCAGGGGGAAGATCAGGTTGGACTGAGAGAACGCTTCCATTGTGTTATCCATGGAAGACTGGTCTGCCTCTCGCGTTCCTTCTAGGTTATCGTAGCTTGACTCAAAGGAAAAGATGCAAGGGGAAGGGAGAGAGGGGCTCACTGGCTGAATCTTGGTCTGAGGAGGCAGAATAGTGTCGCTCCTTGATAAAGTCCCCTCGTAGGGAAATGGATAAGGGTTTTTTAGAGCCCAAACGATGGGTTTTAGTAAGGAAGGCAGGGTGAATGATCATTTGGTTCTTCCAGACGAGAGGTATTCATTACTGGGTGAGGACAAATCATCTAAGGACTTGGCTCTTAACCGATCTGGTGTGCCAGTGTCGGCATTGCGACGGAACATACGCAGCTCTGGGGATCTGGTGGAGGGGCTCTGTAATTTACATGCAAACTATTAATCTTGGGACACAGCACTGCAGTTGTAAAGCATGCAAAAATCCTATTGTTTATCAATTTTCCTGTCCTTTTCTTTATAAAATATTTTCATATATCTACCAGATCCATTTTGTGAAATTTCTGAAGGAAATATTTATCACTTCCAAGCTAGAACAATCAAGGCTAATTTAAACTCACACTAAGCAAGTCTTCGCTGTTGGTTCGTTTAACTCTCACAGAGCCAACCGAGGAAAATGGCTGGGACTTATTCTTGGTATTTTTGACATTCTTGTGGAAAAGATGTTTCTGGAACATGTTAGCAAGACGTTGTTTCAGCAGAAATGGAGAGCAGAATTCACCATATGAATTAGAAGTGTATTACTGTACAACCTCATGAAGTTCCTTATGTTTCAGATCAGTCTTGGTATTCAATTTGAATACATTTCATATTCTCTTCAGTTGATATCCATGTGAAATAAAAATCTTCACACCCTCTCCATACTTCAAAATGATTTAAAATACTGCCAGAAAGTCTAAAATATTAAGCAACATAATCAAAAGGACTACACATGAAACTACATTCATGAGGTTGTTCAGTCTTACCTTTAGTGCTTTTTAGCATTAGACGGCAATCAATGTTAAGAAATAAAGACAAAAGGGTCAAAAGGAAAGGCATAACACACAGATAAGCTGACATAAACGCACTCATGCTTTTAGTGGTCATTTCATATATGATGTTTTTGAACGGGGGAGAAATATCCAAATGAGCAAATCACATAAAATGTAAGCAAAAAACCCTTTATACATTTATATATGTAAATCCATCACTGTCACTGTTAATTCAACATTTTTCATCTTTCAGATCTATCACTATTCAACTGCTTTTAAGAAAGTTTTATCTGTATATATGTGATAAAAGACAAAATATGGATTCTCATTTAACTTTTATAAAGATGCAGATATAACTAAGAATATAAATCTCAGCTGACTTCACAAAGTAAAATCTTTTAACTAATGTTATATATATAATATATATATATATATATATATATATATATATATATATATATATATATGTTCCTTCTGATCTTCATCAAGCCTTCTGCCAGTATATTCATCAATTTCTCTTATAAACTACAAATTGGTTGCAACAAAAGTAATAGGGGCCTACATAAACTGCAGGAAAATTATGAATGGAAGAGTTCCATTTGCAGAGATAAAAACGCACACTCACTCAACTCACACACACACACTCACTCACTCAACTCACACACACACTCACTCATCTCACACACACACACTCACTCAACTCACACACACACACACACACACACTCACTCACACACACACACACACTCACTCAACTCACACACACACACACACACTCACTCAACTCACACACACACACACTCACTCACTCAACTCACACACACACACTCACTTAACTCACACACACACACACTCACTTAACTCACACACACTCACTTAACTCACACACACTCACTCACCTCACTCTGCATTACATGAAATACTTATGTATCTCTATCCACCTACCCACCAACTTATATGACTACAGCATGTAAATATCAATATCTTTATCTCTCTCTAAAAAGAGAGATACTGGCAGTGCAAAACAAACAAATTCTGTGAAACTGTGCAATGATGGAAAAAATTAACTTTCTTCCTTACCATAATCATTTGTGTATCTAAAAATCATAATGCCTGTGCCAGGGTGTTCTGTGTAAACAGTATCATTTTGGATTAAATACTCATATGCATCTATCAATCAATCCATCAACCTAAATATCTACAGTATATCAATATATATTGCTATGTTTCTCTCTCTATAACTAGATGTATGGCCAATTTGATTTAGAACTATTTTTGAGGTAACAATCCATTTAAGATCACTGCATAAAATTAATAACTGAATAAATAAATATGAAAGAAAGAAATCTGGAAAGAGAACAGTACATACATTTTCATTCGAAATAAAAATCACATCTAATGTCATGTCTAAATATTTTAACACATCAAAGAAAGCAAGTTACTTTAAGTAAGACATACAAAACCTAAATTAATCTAATGGCACTAGCATTTGCAATCATCTCAAAGATACCAGCCCCTTTTAATTTCATCAAAATCACAATATATCACACACATAGCCACACATGTATCTATAGCTAAATACTAAATATAACCTTATTTTCTTCAAAACCAATAAATCATTAACCCATATCAAAACTGGTAACAAAGTGCACTTAATACCAATCACAGGTGCTCTAACTTTAAAAGGCAGTGGTATCAGTGCTAAAGCAAGACTGCAGATCACTGTAGAGGAATCCAAACCTACCTTTATGGAGTCTCCCAGCCGCTTCCCACGAGCCTCTTGCCTCTTTAGAAAACTTTGGTTTAACTGTGGAGTGCCTGAACCACTTGCATGGTTAAATTGCTTGATTAATCTACGCTTTTTGGCAGAGTCTGGAAGGGACTGCACATAGGCATAGAGCTCAGCAAGAGCCACCTCAGTAACATCTTTGTCATTGGCCTGTGCAGTCAGTTCACGGTCGATGAAAGTGAATATGGTGTTGGTTGGGGCATCCATCATTGACCGCTATAGAGAAGAAGGTCATGAGATTTCTCAAGGCTGTATTCATAAACTTCTATACAGATGCACACAATATATAGCATACAAAAAATTACTCCCTCGAGTATATGTATATACATATATATGTATACATACATACATACATACATACATATATATATATATATATATATATATATATATATATATATATAAGAAGATAAAGAAGAAGATAAAAATAAAAAATCTGCTAAGAACATTATAAAGACAAAATAGGGATTTAAATATCTCAGCATAAAATACATTTTCTAATACTTCAAGACAAGGTTAAGGCAACATTACTTAATTCATGCCATAACACTATGGTAGTTACACAATAAAAGGGATGACTCCATATGGTTTTGGGTACTTTACAAATAAGAACCCATTGGTTTTTGCTCAATTAAGTCAAAATAGGAAAATTACTTGACAGGCACCAAGGTTCCTGGACCTTGCCTTTGTCCTAAAAATCCTTCTTTAGTTCCATGCATATTCACACCATTCACTAAATCATGACACACCAGCGCTTTTTCTAAGATTTACTGGTAGTGTAGTGGACTATACTAAAGCTCCTTACAAAAGGAAATACAAATTCCATTACAACATTCATTTGCAAGAAAAAGGAGCCTGTACATTATAAAGGGCTGTAAGCACGGGTATCTAGGCCGAATTTTGTGACTTTGGTGCAAAATCTGAGGGCTGAGGGGAGCCAGTGATAACACAACGGAGAGCATGTTTTTCCTTGGTTATCTCCGGCCTTTTCAGGGTGCAACTCAAAATTACTGTCTGTAATTTGCTTAAAGAAATTATCGACATCTATAAAGTCAAAAAAAGCTATATTAAAGATTTGATATAAAATATTTAGAGGTAAGAATATATATATATTTTTTAATTACCAAAAACAAATAAACATGAAATGGCTAATTTGAAACAGGATTTACACTCGCATCGACGGTCTGTTAGATTAGCGATAATAATCTTGAATCTGTAAATCTGCTTCTGTGCTTCTTTCTTCAAAAAAATATACAGCATGAAACATGAAACTATGGTTAAACAGGGTATAAGTCCTTGTGCTCCATGTTACTCAAACGAGAAGTACTATGCACGGTGTTATCTAAGCGTGTGGCACATCGGTCTATTACAATGGTGCTTTACGCAGCTGAAACACTAAACCTAGCTGGGCACTCGGACACAATTCAGGTCCAAGATGAAGAGAAGACCAGTTGAACTGTGCCTTAAGCTACACCAATATTTAAGTACATCTTAAATAAGTCAACAATTTTTTAATATACTTTCCAGAAAATAAATGTTAATGCTATGAATCTAACATTAAACTTGATAATACAGTTACATCACTGACCTTTGATAACTGGTGCTTCATTTTCTTTTTGTTGTTCCAGTACTGGCGTACATCATACTCCAGTTCTAGGGGTACCTACAGTGAATAAATTCATAATACTCATGAATAAGCATTAGCGTTGAGTGGGGTGAACAGAAACAATTTCCTTGTTTGGTTCTGTACTCTAAACCATAAGAGTGAAGCAGTTTATATTCAAGATGAGTATGGAGGGATATTTGACCAGGTCATGTGCAGGTGTAAAAGACTATCTATTCATTTTATTTATTTATTTATTTATTCCCCCCCCCCCAAAAAAAAAAGAAGGGGGGGATTCAGTCAAGGAAAATGAGTTGACCTGGGACACTTTTTAATATGGTAAATAAACAAACTTCCACTTCCTAGTTGAATCTACTTGATCTCTGAATGAACTAAGTTCAGTTAAAATACAATTACACACCTTTCAGACATTTAGTTACCTATTTTTCCTCCTTTGAAAAATAATGTGAATTTGTATATGGGATAGCTAGTTAAAAAAAAAAGGAACCTACTGCTCCTTTTTATAAGTGCTAGAAAAATGGTTCCATCATACTGTGTTTCATATGCATTTTAAAGTCAGCAAAAGCTTTATCAGCCCCCTAATTGTAAAAGTGTGCCTGACAATACTATTGGTCCACTGATCAAGTGTATCTTATTAATATCATCAATATCTTCATATTTGGCCTAGTGGTGTTGATTGTTCATCCTTCTTCCTATGAATATAATTGTTACACTGGTGTTCCAACTATTAGAACTCTTACTATGTATGCATACCTATCATGGGTTTCTACACAGTATTTCTTTCTCAGGGTAAATCTTCCCAAATTTCCAAGGAACAAAGCTCACAAAACTGTCTTTTTCAAACTCTTTATCATAGTTTTCTACTTGTACACCTTCTCACTGTCTGAATCAACAACTATAGTTATTCATTTTTCCCAAATCATTATCAGTACCTGTATTTGCATCTGAATCCCTATTATAAAAGAGTTGTCCCCTCAGGTTCTTGTGTAATTTGAAATTGCCCAAAATTAGAGCCACAACACTGACTTAACCAGATAACTATCTATCATTCTGTATACATGTATATATACTGTATATTTAAATATGTAGATATCTATGATTTTTTTTTACACATGTACTGTATTTTCAGCAATAAGCATGGTCCATAGCTTGCAAAAGGTTGAGTGTCATAGGTGTGCACAAATCAATAACTGGAAAGTGGTAACTACCACATAACGGACTTAACCTTTCTTTACCTATATAATGATGTAAATGTAAAGACCACTACATAACACCAATGCCATGCCAGATCTGCAACTATTGTATGCTCATACAACCTCAAATGAATAACAGCAAACAGGCCCACACTAAGTAAGGCTAGTTTGGAGCACCTCATCATGAGGACACAAGCCTGTGATGAAGTATGATATCAAGTAATTAGTTTCCACCAATGTCATGGTGGTTTATATCATACAGCCATTTTTATTTTCATTTTTTCTATGTGAAGCAACTTTTATATATGTTACCTGCATCCATAATTGGGTTGTCTGAATACTGCTAAAGTAAGGGTCTAGGATTATGGGAATTTGTTAAAGAACAGGTTACCCAAGTTAGTTGTTTCATATACTGTCTCCTGTAGTTTTTGGAGAAGTCTGTTGCACAAAGATGGCTCAACAAGTGCTCAGCCACTATGGAGACAATAAGTAGGTACTAGTGAAGTCACCTTATTTCCCAATTCCCATCAATATCAAATCCAATCAAATTATTTGAAAATTCATGGAATGAGGAAATCAGGTGAGGTCACACAGGGCTTACTTAATGACTCCTTGGTTCCAGAGTACTTGAGCTGTCTATCTATAAACAAAATTCATAATACAAACTACAATGGACAGTACAGGTACATGCTAATGGTTTAATACTATATAATATTTTACAGCACTTTCAGAATCTACAATTCTAAAAGAGAGTCCATTGCTGCCCTTAACAAAAGAAAATCAATTATTATATCATATAATCAGTGAAAAATCTAACAACTAAAGAGAAACCACTAACTATACCAAGACAGATTTAGTTACCATACTATCAAAATAGGTATATATTACAATTCCATAACAAAATGTACAGCAACAACCTATTACTCATCTCAATAAAAACATATAACTGCACTAAAACTGATGCTATTATGATATTAACATAATCTCTTAACTCACCTTGAAGAGCTGTGGTTGGTTTTCTATCATGAAGGCAACAGACGTGCTTAGGGTGCCTGAGAGATATTGCAAGTCATTGGGAGCCATCTGAAAAGTTATTTACAAAATGACATTGTATCTTTAACAATAAAGTATACAAATAATATATGGAATGATGACAATAGTAACACAATAAATAATCACTAACTTTTCTTGGACACAAAATGTGAGGAGCAAACATCGTTCCAAGATTGATGGCTGACATTAGATTTTGCTCCTTGTGCGCTGCAACTCGGTTGAGCAAAATGAGGAGGTCCTGCAACAGCTGATAATTTTCTGACGGAAGAAGCAGGAACAGGAGACGAAGGGCCTTAATCTGACGACTTTGTGCTGCCTCCTTTTGTTCTTGACTCATATGTGATTGGTGCATTTCTGTTGATTTAGACAAGGAAAAGGTTTCCTTTACCATTAATACCCTTTTGGCAGCATCAGATGTACGTTATTTCATTAGAAACTAATTTTCATGATTTCCAACTCCTGAAGTAAATGATTGCATTCTACCCATGACTTCCACAGAAAAGATACATAGTTCCCTTTGTATTTTTGGTGTGACTAGAATGAACTAATTTTTCTTGTCAAATATATTTATCTCCAAATTCACTCCTCCCCTTAGTTGCCTATACAGCAAACAAACAAAACTCTATTAAAAACAGGCATACATATATACAAAGTTTAAAAAATATAAAAGTAAAATTACTTTATATATAATACAGAAAAGAAAGAAAGAAAGAAAGAAAGAAAGAAAGAAAGAAAGACAGAAAGAAAGACAGAAAGAAAGAAAGAAAGAAAGAAAGAAAGAAAGAAAGAAAGAAAGAAAGAAAGAAAGAAAGAAAAAGGAAAAGAAAAGAAATAGCAATTCTTTCTACCATACTTAGAAAGGATCTCCAATACCAATTTTTTCTACCATACTTAGAAAGGATCTGTGCAAATCAACTCCTAACCTGCAATTTTACAATGGATTGAGTAGTGTGCTTCTGTCAGCAGAGGTTCAGGTAGGTCAGCCAGGAAACTTTTGAGGACAGAGGCACAGTCATGAGCAGAGTAGACCCATAGTCTAAGTTGAGATCACCACCAGAATTGAGAAGATTTTCATTCTTGCTGCCGAGTCAAACTTCCACTCTTACGAAACAGCCCTTCTTGCGTGATGTCTGTAACAGACAATGAATTAGTAATCTACTCATTTATAATATTATCAGCCAAATGTGCATGTATATAACCATTTACTCTTTATGATTTGAATTTGAGATGGACTTGAACACATTACAACGTTCACTTACTAAGTCTTTGTTGAGGTAATGTATACTGGAAAGCTTGGCAGACACCTCCTGGGTAAGTGGTGCCCCTTCCATCACTCCTCTGCCATTGCCAGATCGACCCAGGCGGCGTATTAAGGGCGTTAGGTGCCATCTTCTCCCTGAGGGCTGCTCTCGCCCATCACACCTGTGAATGTGTACAGCAATTCTTCTCTTTCATTATAATAAATGATTTAATACATCTCTCAAACAAAATCTATAATATCTAAAGGTTGTCAAAAAGACAACCATAAAAAGATTATATGCAGACTGATATGCAGAAAAGAAAAAAGGATTTAGCCATGAATGTTTAGTGCCTTATATCTGTATCCATCTATCTATAACACCAGCAGAATATTATATATGGCATATACCAGACAGCAGTATATTTGGTGATTGAAAAATAGCTCATAAAAATAAAAACAATGTAAACATTGTGCAATGTATAAGTAAAAATTAACAATTTTGGTAAGACTTCTAACTACATAAATCTAATTTATGTGCACATCAAAAAGAAACAACTATTGATGAATTTATACATTTCAGAAAACATCTAAGAAAGTGCCAAACTAATTTGAATTTCATTGTGAAAAGCACTGATATAAAAGAAATGCATAATTTAGAAATCATTATATATATATTATAATATATATATATAATATATATATAATATATATATATATATATATATATATATATGTGTGTGTGTGTGTGTGTGTGTGTGTGTGCGTGTGTATAAATATATATATGTATGTATGTATGTATGTATGTATGTATGTATGTATGTTATATGTATGTATGTATATGTATGTATATTATGTATGTAATGTTATATATGTATGTAATATGTATGTATGTATATATATGTATGTATGTATATATTATGTTGTGTGTGTGTGTTTGTGTGTATATAATATATATATATATATATACATACACACACACACACACATATATATGTATGTATGTATATATATATATATATATAATATATATATATATATATATATATTAATATATATATATATATATATATATATTATATATAATATATATACACACACACACACACACACACACATGCATACATAATATATATATATATATATATATATATATATATATTATAATATATATATATATACATATATATATATATAATATATAATATAA